CAAAACAAACAAGCTGCTGATTAGAAAATGACCCAAAAACGTGCAGCAGCAGTCAGTTTCTTCTTGTCACGGTTTCTTTTTGGCCAAGTTTTGCGTTCTCTCCCTGTGAACATGACAAAAGAGGAAGGAAGACTAAATCCTGCCTGCACACTGTCGCCTCAGCAGGGACGATGTTAGAGGAGAAAAGAGCTTTCATGAGAGCTGCACCGACTTAGATTCTGTTAGATTTATATTTTGTTTCCTTTTACATAAATAACAACATTTCCACCGTAAACTGGTGCAGAAACTTTCACCAGAGTGTGAGTGTCCCCCCAGACCACCGCTCATATAACTTGTCTAATCTGAGGTCTTATGTCCCCACCACTTTTGTCCTGTTAGGAAACATTATTCTCGTTAGTGAAGATAATAAATGCCCCCTAACAGCTGTTTTATATAAACAATCCATCTGCATCCTACAAGGACAGTATCTCGTGCTTTACCTGAAGTTAAAAGTGAGACTTCTCAGTTTGAGTGTTCAGCTGGTGAATGGAGCCGTCCCTCTCGGGGCTGGGCGGCTGCCCGGTGTGAGTGCGTGGACGTGAATGTGAAGCAGGACGGCGGTAATAACAACAACAACGACAAAAAAAACCCTCCTGTGGCGCTCAATCAGGCCGTCGGGATGAAACAGAGGTTAACACAAACAAAAGCTACCTGACAGTCACGGCGCTCATCTGTTAGAGTGGCTCATCACTGGGACGGACCACGGCCCCGGAGCGCTGTCTGAAAAACACGACTTCAGCAAAGACGAGAGGAGTGTTGTTCACCTGCAGCAGAAAACTACCGGCTGTATTTTAGTGAAAATCTTCCGTGTTTATTGTAAATATAAGTCAATGCAATGTTTCCACAGGTTATGGTCTCAATAGTTTAGTGTCTTTTAGTTCGTTACCTACTTTTAAGTTGGTGTGTTGGACGTTTTCCCTCCTCCAGCAGCTACAGAGCAACGTGATGCTTCATGTGGAGGCGGGTTTGTGTCACATGGTGAATGTGGCTGCGTTCCGACTGCGGGCCAAAGTGACACAAATCTGATTTCTTTGCTCACATGTGACTCTGATCAGATTAGCAGTATGAACAGCTGATCTTTTGGGCCACTTTCAGACGTGGTCGAATTCAGATAGAGATGTTTTGACATGTGACTCAGTGCTCACAAATTCCCTTTCTTCCATCTGAGATCAACTTAAAAATAACGATATAATGAATCTAACCTCAGCGGTCAACAATCATTTGATGGACACCAGTGGCGAGTTCAATCTCAAAACGTTTTGCAACGTTTGCAGCTTCTTCGGATTGAACGGATTGAATTTTTGCACATGCACAACGGGCTTCGAGGTGTGTTTGCTTCTGTTCGGCGGGAGCGTCACAGGTGTTACCCAATCAGCTGCGACAAGTCTGTAAACACAACGGTGTAAAAAAGGCAGGAAAATGCAGCGCGCTTGTGTCCACAACAGGGTGTTCAGGGAACCACCGTTTCCGTTGTCTGAACGCGCCCCAGCTTTGCTTTGAGTCCTGAATACTACGATTGGCTAACCTGAAGAGGCTGAGGCGTCACATTGTTCTTCTGCACATGCAGGTGACTTTCAGGCCGTGGCCAGTTCACGCCGGCATCTGATATGGGCCGCATTTAAAAAATAATGCGAACAGTCAATCAGACAAATCGGATCTGAGCCTTAAGGGCTGCAGTGTGAACGCAGCCTGTGAGCCCAGCAGCTCCCGAGGGAAATATCTGGCTCTTCAGCTGCTAAACGCTCCTCTATGTTCACCAGCTGCTCTCTGACTGAGTCTGTCTGCTGTTTGCTGCTGAGCAGCTCGCGGACGGCGGCTTTTTAACAGCTTCTACTCTGAAAACGCCGCTCAGAGCGCGCTGAGAGTGAACCATTCAGTATGTGGACAAAAGTACTGGGACACCTACACATTACTTCCCATTCTAAATTTTGAGGCATGAATATGGAGTTGGTCCCGTCTTTACAGCTGGAACAGCTTTTCACTCCTTTGGGAAGGTTTTCTGCAAGATGTGGGAGTTTATTTAAAGAACATTTGTGACGTTCAGATGGTGTTGGACGAGAGGGCCTTGAGGGCTCTGAGCGTTCTTTCACACCAAGCTGGGATGGAGCGGGCTTTCTGCTTGAGGGCACAGTCATTTTGAAACAGGAAGAGGCCAAAGACAAACTAAAATTGTACTTTTGTCCATGTACACTTCACAAAGATAAACCAAATGTAGACTAAAATAAACACACGGTATCTCCGCTTTAGTCCTGAAAAGCTGCAGTCTCTATTTGTTAGTCTCTGTATCTTACACATGTGTATTTAAAGCATTAAACGTTGAAATGTTTATTGTAACAGGCTGTATATTAACTTATTGGGAGAAAACTGGTAGTTCTGTGTAAAATCAGACGTTGAGCTCCCCCATATCGGCAAAATGGCGTGATCCTCGTTTCGCAGCGAAGCTTCGACTGTGAGATTGACAGTCGAATCAGCATCGACTCTCCCACTATTCGGGGTCAGCCCTCAAATACATAACAATATAGGAAAATAGAAAAACCCTAATAAAATACATTAATGAAAAAACGTTCCAACCAATCAGTATGAAAACAAATAGACGCCTTCGTGTGTTTCATCTGAGCGTTGATCACTGCAGCAGTGATCTGCCGGGCTCTGTGTGATGTGTGCAGACTGATGACTCATTGTATCTGAGAGGCTTTGATGTTGGATCTGGACCTGACGAGGTGAACGCTGCCAAACAATGAACTCTTTCATCTCCTCTCTCCTTCATCCCCCCGTCCTTCTTTCTCTTCCTCCTCCCTCCATCCTCCTCTCTCTCAGATCCAATCAGAGTCTCTTGCTTTCTTCTTTCGTCTGAGATCTTCTCTCCTCCGTCCTCCTGTTTTCTCACCTGTGAGCCACCTCTTCCTCATTAAGTCCAATCCTCGTCTCCGTCTCCCCTCCTCTTCTCTTCTCTGCCTACTTTAATGCTCGTTCCCGCCACAGATCCCTCCACCTGCCGGTGAAAGGCGTAGCTCATCACAGACATGTCGATCACATGACTTTTTTTCTGCGTCCTCCAGGTGTTCGCCATCTTCCGGAGATGGACCAGCGCTCCGGTGCTAACGTCCACTACACCCTGCTGATCGCCTGCGTGCTGGTGGCCTTCTTCCTGGGCGCCATCTTGTCCGGGTTCCTGGTGTCGTGTTACTGCAGCCGCAGCGCCGCTCAGCGGGCGAGGAGGCTCGGGAAGGACCCAGAGGCGTCGCTGCCGCACGCCTTATCGCTGCGATCCCTCGCCAAGCTCAACGGACTGCTGGACGGACAGCCGAAGGTGGGTGGATCCTTCGGACGGTGACGTGTATGAAGAGGCAATGCATTGTGGTAAACTAAACTCTGAGAGGCGTTTATGTTGTACCAGAAACCGAAAATATTGATTCATGATGGAAAAAAAGAACTGGAGTAGCCAAACTGAGTCTGACACCAGGGATACCCGAACCTCTCCAAACACGTCCGGCTTCACAGACAAACTTTTATTTTATTTTAGTGTGAAAGTCTCGGTGTTCAGCCTAATGAGTCAAATGATCGTTTAAATTTTACCGAACAATCGCGTTGATGTGTCGACAGTGTGGAAGCATTTTAAAGCTGTTTGCAGACGCCGTTCTGCTGAACTGTCTCCCAGCACGTCCACTTCATCTGTGGCTGACTTCTTAGAAAAGAACCGCTGTGAGTGTTTCTGTCTCTCCTCTGTGAGAAGGAGATTAAGCTAGCTGCGCCTACATTCAGAGTGCGCACATGTTCAAGCCTTTACGGTAAGTGAAGCGGCCCAGAGCGAGCTGCCAGGCAGGTTAGAGACTTTATCCTGTCAGTTTGTCTCTTTAGTATGAAGAGAGGCTGTGAAGTCTTCATGTTACAACATTATTTATCAAACCGGGTCGGACTGGATGAATTCAGCGCGACAAGGAGGAAACACATGTGACAACGTCCGGTTTTCAAAATAAGTCGTCTGTACAGGATGGAAATAAGATTAACTGAATTATATTCACAGAAAGTAGAAAACATATTACATGTGTCTATTAAAAGTAAATGGACACATGTAATTTACTTTACCGGACCCTCTCGGGCCCCAGACCCCCCACCATAGTCTCTCCACATCCTGTGGGAAACACTGAGGAAAAAGCTCATTTTGACTATTTAATTTATGCAAAGGGAGAAAACGAAGGCCAAAATGTCATTTGTTAGTGTTAACAGAAAAAAAATTAAACATGTGTTTAGGGAAATAAATCAGTTTATTTAGGCAACAAAAAAAACACAAAACCTTTTGATCAACCATTTTTGAGAGAGCATTTAAAAACCAAAATGAATTCTATTTCAAAAAGGAGACAGATCTTTATATTGACATCTGAATCTGCTACACAGACGTTATGCAAAATACCCTCTTTTTTTTGCTTTATTGACTACAAAGAATCTGATTTTTATCCAATAACAGAGAGCTCTGTTCTGACGGTCTTTGGACTGGTGACATTTTACGTTATTGATGCGTTTAGGTTCTCTGCACAGGTGTTATGTTGTCATATAAAATGTGCTGATTGTTCCAGACAACAGAAGAATGAGAAAACATGCTGAAAAAACAAGCGTTTCCCACGAGACGAGGTGCGTCGTGGCCACGTGTCGATGAAACAAACACGTTGCCTCTTCTACATTTTCCAGACATTAGCATGAGGTCCGGCAGGTTCTGTTGTCGAGCTGAGAAGCAGCTGAATTTTGAGCAGCAGAGTTAATATTCATCTCCTCTCAGGGAGGGGGGGGGCTGATAAGTTAACAGCTCCTCTTCAGTCTTTTCTTCAGTCTTTGTTATCGACTGTTTCATTATGAACTCTTTCCAAAGCGTCCTTGAGTGAGAAAGTGAATCTCCCGCTGACCTCTGACCCCTCTGCTGAAATGTTTGGGACGTCCTCATTATACTGAGTGGAATGTGATAATTGAAAGATTAAAAGTCTCAGTATCTATATATGTATTTGTTTCACACCTCTTTTCCTCACTTTATCATCCTCTGGCGGGGAAAGCTATCAGCGCTCTGACTCCCCTTCTCCCTCTTTTGTTTCGTCTTCCTGCAGGAGGACAAACTGGACGTGTCCAGCCCCAAGATGTACAGCTCCTTCATCCCCAACGGCCGGTCAGAGTCTCACCTCCACACCCCCGGACACCAGGGCCTGCCGCTGGGAGACCCCGACCTCAGCCTCTCCCAGGTAGGACAGCCTGGTTGGTTTCACTCTAACAAAAGAAAGCTTTGTTAAATCAGCAACAACTCTGTGTCCATATCTGTAATCTGATCATCTGTATTTTAAAGTCTCACATGATGTGGTCCTCACAGTCTGAAATCCACCTTTTTAAGGAGACGTTAAGTATCTTAGTGCTGAAATGATTCGTCAGTAGATATTGACAGAAGCTCGTATCATTAGACTTGTTAAAGCTGCTTTTGCCTGTTTTATTGTAAGTTGAATATTTTGGGGGTTTTGGATCGTGCAGACGTCATCTTGGGCTCCGGGACTCTTTATAGACCAGCTGATTGTTAATTGCAGCTCTAGTCTGACTGTGTTTTCCCCAGAAATCGGGAATTTGGTTTCACATTTGATCAGTAATATTGACGGATCAAAAAGCTGAAAGGTGGCTGTAGATTAGGGCTGGACGATACGAATCAGATCTTTATTTCTCTCCAGTTTAAAGGCTGATTTTTGCTCCTGAGTGAAAGTTGAAGAAACCTGTTGGTTAACTGGGGTTTAAACTTTTCTTTTTAGTCAGAAAACATGAGGCCAAACAGTGGATCTCTTCACAAGAACATTCAAAACAGTTTTTTAATAAACATCTTAATGAAAAAGAAAAATAATCCTATTTCGTCATTTATTGAATATTTATTCCACATTTGTTATATTGTTATTGAGAATGATTATATCACGGTAGTTATTGTTTTATTGTCTGGCTCTACTGCGCAAACCTCAAACTCGAGGGTTTGGTTCAGAGTCTGAGGTTTTGGCTTCTGTGAAAAGACCACTCTGATTTCCTGCAGGGCTTTAAGACAAAAAGGTTGTTTGAGGCTCACGGGTCTAACCTCTGTTCAGTCTCTGTCTCAGGGTGACGGAGAGCTGTCGGGCCTGCCCACGCCTGACTCCACCCCGGAGCTTCCCATCAAGAACATCAAGGCCCTGCGGCACCATCAGTACGAGAAGAACCAGAACTGCAACAACGCCAAAGACAACCCCCCCCAGTCTGGGCCCAGCTGCTCCGGATCCAGTCTGGGTTTCATGGCCGTCGTTGGGAACTCTTTGACGCAGCAGGTGTTTCCCTTCTCTCATCACCACAGCAGCAGTTTCAGCAACGGCTCGGCCCACGGAGCGGGCGCTTCCTCTACTTCACTGCACCTCCCAGAGGAGAGGAAGCTGTCGAATGACGAGCGAGCGGCGGCATCGGCGGCGGGAGGCGGCGGGGGGGTCCCTCTTCACCACCACTCCCAGCAGTCCCTGCCCCAGACGGTGGTGGACGTGTCGGCGCTGGACGAGCTGCTGAAACACATCCATGAGGTCAGCGCGTCGGGGACCGGAGGCATCAAGGTCCTCACCTCCACGTCCTCGTCCTCGCTGTTCCCCGGGCCCTCCTCTGGAGGACAGCATCATAATCACCACCATCATCATCATACCCACCACGGCCAGACCCGCACCCACCATTACAACCACAGCCATCACCATAGCAACCATCACAACAGTAGCGGCGGCGGCGGCGGCGGCCACCATCACCAGCAGCAGATCCCCGAGACAGAATCGGCTTCGTATTACAGCACCTCCACGCTGCCGCGGGACGGCCTCCCGAAACGCCTGGACGCAGCTACTCAGAACTCCACCTCGTCCTCCGCTTCCTCCTCATCCTCCAACAACCCCACCTGCTCCACCTCCGTCCCGTCTTCGTGCTCCTCCTCCTCCTCCACGCCGCTCCAGCAGCAGGTGATTCCAGAGAGACCCGGAGGAAGCGGCACCTCTGTGACACGACACCACTCCCAGCGCCACTCCCTCATCAAGATGGGCAGTGGGGGCGGCGCAGTGCCGCGCCACCACAGCTTCAACCAGCGGGGGGCGCAGCACGCGCACTTCCTAGCCAGGATGAACACCAACAGCAGCAGCAACGGCCCCCCCGGCGCGAGTGGGACAGCTAACGTCAATACGAACGGCGAGAGCCAGCGGCCGCTGATCGGCAGCGCTTGCCTGACGCGACAGCACAGTTACAGCGAAGGACCGCATGCGCAGCGGGCGGCAATCGTCCGGAGAACGGCGTCCCTCAAACCCCAAGTCCCGCCGAAGCCGCTGTTCCTTCCGAACACAGCGACATCACCGGTGGCAGAGGCGGGAAAATACAACTACTGAGAGGAGGTGGCGCCAATCCAACATGGCTGCTACGGTCCTCACCAAGTAAAGCACTCGGAAACGTCTGCGGGGCGTGTGAGAAATGACAAAATGAGAGCGCTGATGGGACGAAAAGAGGCGTTTTGTCCCCGTCACTCCTCGTTACGACCCTTCAGCTGTGGTTCTTTTCCTGCTGCTGAGAGGACGCCGCCCGCCGCCTCTCTGAGTCACGACCGCTGCATTGTTGCTGCTTCGCTCGCAGAGCAGAGCCCTGAAAAGAGCCAGACAGACAAATAAACAAGATCTCTGACTCATTTCGCGGGGAAGGCTCAGGGCCGCTCGTGGTCTCCCCTCACGACGATCGAATCCGGCTCAGACGAGTCTGAGAAACATTCCAAAAGCGGGACGAAAGATGTTAATGATTCAAAAGTTGTCCCCAAGGCTCGAGGTGGCCTGAAAAATCTTGATTAATGCAGTTTTCTTATGAGCGCTTTGATCTAATGTCCCGGTTGTTGCACCTTGGCACAGGGCCCAGATTTCATTTGCAAAGACTCAAATAAAAGCAGGAATCGGACTGCTGCAAAGCTGACGTGAACTGAATCCTCTGGGAATTCTTTCCACAGGAGAAATCTAACAAAAATCACAAAGGTCCAGAGGGTAATTCCTCTCCGTTTGAAGTCTGTTTGTCCCTCTGAATCTGGTCCGGGAAATTGAAATTTCCAGGAGGGAGCTCAGAGTCCAAAGGGAGAAAAAAAAAACCCACAATGAGGTTTTTGTTATCGCGTCCAACGCTTCACGATGACAGGACATTCAAGAGATGGAGATTTTTGTACACTGACACATCAAAGAGAGACAGTTCTGCTCCATGAGCTGTGGTATGAAATCAGAGCAGCCGTTAGTGACACCCTGACAGCACATTCTTTTCTTTTCTTTTTTTATACCATATTGGTATCTGAAAACAAACAAAGCATCAACAGAGCGGGACTGTTAATCCCACAAATTAGAAATCCATGCACTCATTACACTTAATACTCATTTGTGTGTTCAAATTACTTAATTGAGTCTCTTGAATAAATAATTGCACCTCAGATGACTTAATTTACCCTCCCTTCCATGTTTTGCATCCGTCTTTATCTGTGAAGAGCTCTAAACTCTCAGAGCTGCATAGAATTTATGAACCCACGTCTGCAGGATTCATAAAACATGTTTAGCTGGATGTCAAAGAGCAAATTAAAACCGTATTGAATCCATGAGGTCCGCAGTTTCTTTTAGGTGTTAAATGAGAAATTTGAGGGGATTGTTTATCAAAAATATTACATATTATAACAGAAGGAACAGCTCACAGAGTGGAAAGAACCCTTTCTCACGTACCTCTGTGGTTCCCACAGTGGACGTCTCGGCCTCCAGGTGACGCAGGACTCATTCGATTCTGTTGTTTACACTGAACATTTCTGCAGAAGCAGAGAAAGAAAGAAAAGAGAAAATAAGCAATAAAAGTTTCCAGAGCAGCAACCAGCCTAGAGCTAAAAATGACCTATATGTCTAAGGCCCCGCCCACACTACTGCGTTCTGGTAGAGAGGCCTTTTGCTACGTTTGCACCTCCCGTCCAGACTGAAACGGCAAAAACTGAGAAGTTTGGAAACGCTGCCGACCCTGTTTTTGCTTTCTAAAACTTCGGGGAAGTGTTTTAGTGAAGACTTTGGAAACGATGACGCTCGCGCTCGGATTCGGTCTCGTGAGTCATGCAAAGAAACACGATGCTAAACTTTACTAAAATATTTAGTACTTTGTGACGACTCCCAGTCTGTTTCCCGCCGCCGCCGCTTTAAACTCCCGTGTTTCATTCAGTCCCCGCTCGTTATCGGTCCACGCTAAATAAAATCTGCTGTGCTTCTTCGTCTATAGAACTTTATTCTTTTGCCAAATCTTCTGTAACTACAGAACAGACCAGCTGCTTCATGTTTACACCGGCAGGCGCACGCCCAGTGTTCCTGAACGGCCACCAGAGTCGCTTATAGACGAAAACGCAGCTAAAACGGTGGACAGTTCACTGGTTCCATCAGTGTTACTGAGCGTGTTGTCGTTTATAACCGTACTAAGGTTAGTGTTGTTAGAGCACATTGCACGCGCTCAGTGGGGGACACGATCTGGTGGCATCTCGCCGTGCAGACGTGCGTCTCAGATTCAGCGGAGGTGAACGGAACAGAGTTTGTGACAGCTTAGAAAAATGACATTTGTCCCAGCTTCCCCGGATAAACCACAGAGCACACAGGCGGCAGACTTTAGAGGGACGGTGTCTTCAGTAGGAAGGGATCTGAATGAAAACACTTTCAGGGATTATTATGCTGGAACGCCGTCGCTTAAATACCACAAGGGACGAGTGTGAACAAATCCTGGGTATTTCTGGTATTTCTGTGGTCGTTTGGGGGAACGTTTCGAAGCCGTCTGTGGGAGGGTTTCTTCACAGATGGTCTAAAAATACCCAACTGGGAAGGGAATGTGCCGTTTCCTGTTTCCCTGCCTGCACTTTTTTATCCTGTCTGTTCTGTTCGGGCTCCGGACCTGATGAGAGGCAAACCAAACAACTGCGGGGGGGGGGGGGGGGGGGGGGGTCAAAGGTTAACAGGCGGCGGCTTGAGGCAGCGGGGACGAGCAATAAAAGTGTGCGATCGAGACAAAACACCTGTAAATAAAAGAGTGAGCCGGGTGGAACTAAATCACTCAAACAGCTGACGGAGCAGGTTTGGTAAAGTCTGATAAATGAACGGGATCATTTTTAGATTTGGAAAAGTTTGGACTGCAAAAAAAAAAAAAGAAGGTCTGGAAAGTTTTCAGAAACTGTAGAGACACTCGAGCCTGGAGATCATCTCACAGGTGTTTTTTACTTTACTTCCTCTTCACTGCAAAACAATAAATAATGATTCAAACTCAGAGGTCCTAACTGTTCACTGACTGCTCACGACTGCCCGGCCACGACACACACATGCACGCTTGGCAGATTACTGTTGTTTAATTAAGACAAAAACCACTAAACGTCCTGTTTTTAGACACGTATGCAAGAACAACGCCAACAAAGAGCACTGCAGCTGCAAAGCTGTCAGTATTTCTGAAGTTATCAACACATCCCTCAGCTAGACATTGTGCTAAAACCAGAATCCAAATTAACTGAATTTGATCTGCAGCTGCGTTTGGACTAAAAAAGGTGATTAATTATCTGGAGGCAGATTACAGTAGTCCATCTAAAATCTGACTGCAAAAAATAACCCAACTCAGGGTCCACTTACTCGCTGTTTGCAGAGCTTTCAACTTTGTCCAACGGTCCTCCTCAGCGAGTCACGTGAAAACACATGGTTGTATTTTGTGGCGGCGATCCAAACCTGGTCCTCTCCATCTGCTGAGGAAGACCATGAGATGTGGTTAAAAGCCAGTAAATGGACTTCTATTTTCTGCTTAAAACTGTCCCACTAAGACTGAGCCTGCTGTCCAATCAGTGTCCGTCATGTTGAAACAGAAGCATTAGGTGCAGGTGATGCGGCTTTCCAGACAGAAACCAATAAACAGCCGATGTCAGTTATTAAACTTTTCTGGATCCCAGCTGCAGGTGAACCAGATGAACATCCAGCAGCCGTTTTTAGTTTCATGTGACTGGCTCAGCTGGCCGGACTCGCTCTCCCAGCGCACATTAAGCAATAACGAAGCCACGGCGGCGATGCTGGTTGGACAAGGAGAGTTGGTCAAGCATCCCCGCCTGCGGGAGACGAGGCGAGCAAATGATGCAACTTTGAGTCCGCCAGCACCAGAGATGTGTAAAAGTCACGCTGCATCGGGCGTTTTGTTTGATATTGATTTCTGCTTCGTGTAAAAGGGGGGATTTGTGTCACGGCGGAGGTTACATCATTCTCTCTCGTCCGACTGCGACTGTGTGATAGTTATCAGAGATTAGTGCTGCTCTGGTCACCGGGAAGAAGCTGCCTGCGTCAATCGAAGTCTAAATTAATCAGAACAGCAAATCTGATCTTCAGCTCGGCAGCAGACGGGGTGGTTTCTAAGGTCGGTTCTGTGCCGCAAAGTGAGGCACGAGTCTGCTGAGTGCAATTTAAAGGAAGACACTTCGGACCTTTTACCCCTTTAAATACAAGTTGCATATACTTGAACAGTTTTTCAAAACAAAAGGTTTTTAAATTCTTAAATAAATAAGTTTGTTTCTATGGAAGTCAACATGCAGAGACTTAAAACATGAACACATGAAACTCTCATTTCTGTGAGTGGCTCTGCAGTTGGTGAAAGCCAAAACAGATTCCTGATGATTTTAACTTTTATTTTGTTTCCGTATTTTGATAAATAACATAAACTGAAGTGACAGAAAGCTGAGAGAAAAATTAGCATGTGGACCTTTGAATTAACGATAAGTACTAAAACGCTAAATATTCTGATTGAACTGACAGAAAATGAACTATCAGTACTTTTGATGGTTGATTCATCATGTAAGTCATTTTAAAAGCTGACACGTTTCCAGCTCCTCTAACGTACGAGGCTGCTGCTTTTCTCTGTATTAACTGAATCCGTTTTTGGGTTTGGACAATTTGGGTTTTGGACAAACGCCTCTATATATTTGATGAGCATGTTTCACATCTGTTTGCAGCCTAAAACTGAATCCACAAAAGATACACATTCAAATCCCGATTTAGAGAACAGTACAGCTGCGTGTCAAACTGCAGTACTTTTTTATTTATTTTTTTTGTCCACAAATCGTCTAAATACTAAATATTGGCATTGAATGTCTGGTCAAATCTGTAAACTACTTGGATTTTTCTTCCTTCAGGTAGTTCCTGATTCAAATTTGCCACTTTTATACTGTGTTTTGTTCAGAAAAAGTTCTTCTACGACTATTTAGACGACATTTAACATTTGAGAGTTTCTTTGGTTGAATGAAAAGGGTTTGGTGATATCACTTTGGTATCAGTACAGAAACTCTGGTGTCCAATAACTAAAGATTTCAAATGAGACCCAGCGATTTACGTTAAAGCAACTTAAATAAATAAAGTACCTGGATGGTCCTTTAAATCCAGCAGGATTGTTGTCAGGCTGCAGATACAGACGGCCAGGCTTTTCTCAGAAGCTACAATGGAGAGAGGGCATGAGAAGAAACATCAGGTCAGTATTTTTCACTAGAACTCATCTTTTATAAATATTTTACACTGAAATCCCAGTGTGGTCAGGTCCTAAAAGACGACTGGTCTGCACTCACACAGTCAGAGCAACAGAAATCTCCATCTGTTATGAATAGAAACTGTCAAAGGGGTGTTTTTTTTAAAAAGCTGCTGTTCCTTTACGGTCTGACTCTTCATTGGTCCTTTAGGAATGTTTTCACTGGGTGCTACAACGGGGACGCTACGGAAAATAAACTCACGGCTGGTTTTATAAAAAGGCTTTTTGTATGAGGATGCACTTGTAACCTTGGAAATACGTTTGTTTATTCATTTCGTGGTTCTGGTTTCCCGTCCTCTAAACGTGATTCTGCCGGAGAGACTGGGGGCAGAGACACTGTGACATCACTGATGATGGACTCACAGCGCCACCCGGTGGGCCACACCAGAACAACAATGTAATAATGTCAAAAGCTATTATGTTACCTTACTGCTATTAATTACCAATGTGGATGACTGTGTAAATAAAAGCTACTGCGGAATATTTCTCTGAGTGATTCTTGTTTGTGTCAAGAGCAGCAAGACCATTACAACCAGTTATAATCTGGAAGTCTGTGAGACGTACCTTGATGTACTGGATATGTTGACGCAGTCCCAAAGGGATCAAGGGGATCTTGAGGGATTTCTAGTAGTCCATGAGGTTTTATGGTCCTGAGACCCATCAGAAAGTTCTACTGTGTCCCTGAATGTGTCCCGAGAGTGTTTGAAAACATTCAGGAGTCTTGGAAGGGGTTTCAGGCCATTTCAGGAATCCTGAAACAATTCTGAGATTCTTTAAATTTAAGAGGACCCTTGATTCCTCTTTCAGGACCCCTGAAGTTGTTGCAAGAGTCTTTGAGTGTATTTAAGGAGTCTTTCGGGTGCTCCAGAAGTGCTTTGGATGTTTTAAAGTCCAGGAGTTCTTGAAGACATCCCAGGGGTACTTACAGGTGTCCCAAAAGGGCTCAAAGGAGTTTCTGGAGACCAGTAGTTCTTGATGGAGATCCAGAAGTCCATGAGTGGGTTCGCAAGTTCTTGAGGTGTTTCAGGGTTCTGTGTGTGTCCCAGGGTTACTTGAAAGAATCCCACAAGACCAGTAGTTCTTGATGGAGATCCAGAAGTCCTTCAGGGTAAGGGGAGTCTTTGAGGTTATTTCAGGTATCCCATGAGGCGTTCCAGAAGTCCTTGAGTGGGTTCGCAAGTTCTTGAGGTGTCCCAGGGTTGTTTGAAAGAATCCCACAAGACCAGTAGTTCTTGATGGAGATCCAGAAGTCCTTCAGGGTAAGGGGAGTCTTTGAGGTTATTTCAGGTATCCCTTGAGGTGTTCCAGAAGTCCTTGAGTGGGTTCGCAAGTTCTTGAGGGGTTTCCAGGGATATGCATGTCCCAGGGATGCTTGAAAGAATCCCACGAAACCAGTAGTTCTTGTCGGGGATCCAGAGGTCCTTGACAAACTGAACAAAGGGAGTATTTTCCTCTATAACCAGTCGGTTACAACGAGCAGCGTATTTTATATTCTGCTCTCATTGTCGGCAGATTAAGCACAAAGCTCTGCTGGTTGATGGAAATGTTTCTTTTCATTTCAATTTTAATTTTAGTCAAATGAATCATGGAATATAAATGAGTTTTTCCATCCCTCCTGAGACAAAAAGTTGAAATGCTGTTATCCAGTGCTGCTCTGATAGAAGTTCCACCTGACATGTATTCAAGTCAATTTTATTTAAATAGCCCAATATTACAAGGGGCTTTACAATCTGTAGAGAACATCCTCCTCTATCCCTAGACTCTTAATTAAGGGAAGGTTCACTGATCACTGACGGGGTTTTGCTAGCTTTTTGGAAGGTGCTCCACTGATGACGTCCTGGTGTTTCTTGGAGGAATTATCGGCTGCTTGAAACGACCTCTAGGAATCCATGAAGATGTTCTACAGGTCTTTGGTTTGTCCTTAGTTTTTGTGAATGTAGCAGGGGTCCCTGAAGTTCCAGGCGTCCTTCAAGAGATTGTGGGGTTCAAGGAGGTCAGCAACCCTGGTATCTTTTTACATAGTGTACGAGGGGCAGAATGTAAAACCACCACGAGTAAAACAATATTTTATGTTGTGTTTTTATAAAAAGGTTGCATCCAAGTACTGTTATTGTAAATAACATGGTGCAGGGGTTTTCTGGTCACTCCAGCTAAATTTATTCAGATAAAATGCATTTATAAATTGTAATTGTGTGACTGTTTCTCTGCAGACCTGCTGCTCAACACTTTCTTTTTTTATATATTCATTAAAAAGGGAACCTGCAGTGTTTTATAAAATTATAACAACTGAAATAAAATCATATTGAATTGTGTTGCATAATATGAACTTCTTCCTCATCACCATGTGGGTCAACCAAGATGCCATTTCAAACAAAGTGCTGTGCTGCCATCTGCTGGTCTGAAATGAGCAGGTCAAATAGTTGCCTACACTGCTCCATGTCTTTCTTTTCCAACAGGCCCACAATGGAATAAAACACAATTTAAAAATGAAATTCCAACATTTGGCCTTGTGTTCAAATGTACGATTACAAACTTATAATTTAACTTATAAACAAAATTATATTTAGATCCTGATTTTATGCCAAAAGGGAGAAAGCTCCGATGACATTTGCATGACATTTCGACTAATTCTGCAGTTTTATGCAAGAGAAAAAAAGAACCTCAATAGTTACCTTATAGGTCAGGCAGAGATTTTACTGATAGATGATAAATACAACAAAATGTCAAGATAAACAGCGACACAATCCATCCCACTGTTACCAAAAGTCGCATAATAGTTGTGTTGAACAGAGTGGAGCTGTGGATGTAAAGGCTGTCAGCTGCAGTTTTATTTCAGAGTTTTCATAAATTACAGCGGCCTTCGTATAAACCAGCTCTCACCTAATCAAACCTTATTTAACACGAGTTTAGTGTCTGTTAACAGAGATGATCACATATTCCATGCTGCAGAAACAAACGAGCTGCTAACCAAACCTTCAGTCCTGTGTTGTTGCTTCCAACTGCAGACCCCTCTCCTCGGGCCCCTCGGACCAGTTCCAGTTCGCCCCTGCTGGTCTGTTAAATTATTCACTCACTTATAAATATCTGAATATGATACAGCAATACAGGCACGATCTGTGATCAGCCATAGCATAACTAAATAACCGAAGACATTCTTATAGACTAACTTGTTGGAAAGCACCACAGGCTGTCTGCAGTAACCTTCAAGCTAATGTTGGCTAACTCGCTAACCTCTATGGGAAATGTCTCAGCAGCAGCGCAGTAGCGCCCCTGCCTACGAAACTCTGAGCAAACTTTTAAAATTGGCCACGTAGATTTAACATGAGTGAAGCTTCAGGCATCTGTGCTGCTTATTTCTCACCTCAAATGTGTTCAGAAACAGATTTTGGTGGACTGCTAAGGTAGCCTACTTCATACGACAAACCCCATTGGCTCACGGACACTAGGGGCCTCAGGAGGGGGGGACTGCAGTCGGACTCATTAGGAGAAACAGCTCCGATGGAAGAACGTGAAAACTTTCCAATCTTTCAATTCTTTAATCAAAACACGGCTGGTGGATGTTTTTGTGCTACAGACTTCTACACCGCCTGACTACCTAACAAACTGAGTGGACACAAGTCAAACACTGGTAAGTGTAAAAGGACAGCACCGTCTCCACCAGTGTAAAGTCTGTTAAAATATATAATATATAAAATTACAATATAAAAGTCTCTTCTTCCTGGTCTCGGTGCACGATGTCCACACTCACGTGGAGAAATATAAAAATCCATTTATATTTTGAGAGTTTCCCGTCCATTTATCTTTGAAATCCAGTTCTTCCTCCTCTGCTGGCAAACAAAATGGCGAGACCAACACGGCCTTCTTCTGCTCCGTTCTTTCTTTTAACCAGTTTTAAAAAACCTCTGAATTTGTTCTGGTTTTTATTTTGCAGCGTCTCTGAAGGAAAACGAACAACTCTCACTGAAATGTAAAAAAGGAGGAGGAGCAAATATTCATCTTTATCCAGACAGCGTTGACACGTCTTGTGTTCATGCGACCGCCATGTGCTGGAAACCTCCTCTGCCAAAGGTCTGACGGTCCATCCCGCTCTGAGTCCTGGTCCCACGGTCTCAGCTCTGCTTCAGTCCCGTGTGTGTGCGGATGTGGCGTTTGTAATTCGAGTTGTCGCTGAACCTGCGGCCGCACTCGTCGCAGGAGTACGGCTTTTCACCCGTGTGAATCCTCAAGTGTTTCTGATAACCGTCGAACCGCGTGAGCCTCTTCCCGCAGATGTCGCACGTGTACGACTTGTCGGCTTTGCTCTCGACCTTGCGGTGCACCTGCACGTGTTTGGCCCAGTGGCCGCGCTGAGCGAACGCACGGCCGCAAATGGTGCAAATGTACGAGTCCACCACCTCGGACAGCGGCGCGTCCAGTTCGATGCAGTCCGGCTGGCCGTTGCCTGAAGCCTGATCTGAAGCTTCAGGGGCGTCCTCGCCAAGGTCAGAGCAGGTCTGCGGCACCGAGGTGCCCGGCTGGGGGTCCAGCTCCGAGTCGTCCAGGTCCTGGCACGGCCGCGTTGAGAGCGAGGAGGTCATGTGGTGGTTGTCCTGCGCGTTCCTCACACCGCCGCTCTGGAACAACACGAACTTGCCGTCGTTCTGCTCCGGCGTCTGAGGCGTCTCCTCCCGCTGAGGCGGCCACAGCTCCTCGTCCTCGTCCTCCTCTTTGATGGGAGGAGGTTTTATCTGGTTCAGGTCCAGACTGGAGCTCCACTCCTGCTGCTCAGAGAGAGCTGCCAACCACAACAAAGAGTCAGGACATGTTGAAAAACTGCAGCTGGTTGTATTTTCTCCAAGAAAAACTTCAAATGTTCTAAATTTAAATAAGATCTGAGCCTTTTTTCCTTTTTGCATTCCCTCAAAGCGTGCGCTGACCCAGTACTACCGTTTGATTTCAGGGATACTGTATCTTGATGCCGTGACGTCATTCTGCCATCCCAACGTCCCACTGCGTGCACGACCCCAAACTGTGCTCACATGTGACACAGCAGACCTCTTTCTAAATCAATCAGTTGTTTATGTGAGCTTGTATGACTTTGCCATGCCAGGGGCTCAGCGGGGCTTTAAGCTAAACGCCAACATGCTGATGTTCAGCAGGTATAATAATTAACATGCAGTTTAGGCCGAGAGTTTAAGGTTAACTTTAGAGGTCATTTGTAAATATGGTGTGGGAGCGTTGCACCGTACAAATCTTTTCACCGAGAGGCTCCATGACGCTGCTGACCCCGGTTTTGGTTTTAAACTTAGTTTTAGTGCGGACAGGTGAAAACAGAGGACGCTCACGCTCGGCTCTCTGATTGGCTCTTATCAGTCATGCAAAGCAGAAACACGATGCTGCTGACAGAGTTTTAGTTTTGGTGTTTTTATTAAAAGATTTTGTTCCGTGTCAGTAACACTTCTACACTTGTACTGTGCATGGCGGCATATTTGCTTTTCAACGACTCCCCGTCTGTTTCCCGCCGCCACAGTCTCTTTGTGCTCCCGTGTTGCTTTCAGTAACAGCTCCACCTCGCTGTCGGTCCCTGCAGACAAATCTCTGGCGTGGTTCTTCTTCTCTAGTAGAACGTTCGCCAAATCTTCTGCAGCTGCAGGGTAATCTGCCTCCTGTTCACATACCCAGTGCAGTGAACGTCCACTAGATGTGCGTTTGCAGTCGTTGTAATACAGACAGAGATTAATTCTGATACGCAGCTAAAACGCTGCTGTGGACGCAGTGCAGGTTCTCTCAGTCCTGGCAGAAATGTGTCTGAAGGTAACGGGGCTTTTAATCTAGCTGACTTAAACTTTTATCAGCCAGTTCTGATGTAAAACCATAATACTGTATTTTGTTTAGGCAAAGTTCTTGTTCTTGTTCAGCCTCTTAAACAACATTTAAGGTTTGAAAAGTTTGAATTCTTTTGCTAAACGGAAGAAAAAACTGTTTATATTCCTCCTGAAGTATCGATGAAAGTACCAACTGCAGACATATTAAAGTGCACTAGAGAAAAAGCCATGTATATCCAGCTTTGTCTACAATAGGACATCTCTTTGACAACTTATAAAAACTCCTTTATTCCCACTGCAATATCTATTTTAAACAAGGACAAATAGACTGACGCTACTTTTTAATGAAGCTGCACACATGCTCTTATTTACTGATGGCTCTCGCAGTGTTGTAATTTAGTTTTTATTTAATCTTACATGGGAGTGTGTTTTCTGATCTGGCTCTGGGGTCTGCTGATGGCTGGAAAGGGTTAAGGCTGCAGGCGCCATGTTGGGGCAGAGCTGCACAAACAGGTAAACACTTATTTTATTATTACTGACAACAACAATTAAGAAACTGCTCTTTAACCCTGAAAAAGCAGCTGCTTCCTCTTGTTCTGTGGGTTGCTGAGCACACGCCCTTTGATAAGTTAAGTTAGTGGTTTCAGTTAAACATGTTTAATTCATCCAAACTGTTGTTTAATCCAGACTGTGTCTCCGCAGCTTCACTCTGCGGCTCGGTGTGTTAAACTGCAGCCTGAAGCCGTCAGATGACAGAAACCAGGGACTCACCTGAGCTGTTCACCTGCAGAGAGATCTGCGGCTTCTTGTGGAGGTCCAGCAGCCGGCGCTGGCGCTCGATCTCCAGCTTGGAGCGGGAGATCTCCTCCTCGTACTCGGCTATGGTTCTGCCGAACACGCCGAAGATCTCCTCCGCGGCCTCGGTGAGCCGCTGGTTGATCAGCAGCCTCAGCATCTCGATCTTAGACATGTTGGCGGACCTCTGGAGACCAGAACAACTAAAAGAACGGGAGAAGTTCGCTGCCCGAAGCGTCGTGGTCGCTTGTTTACTAGCTACACTTCCAGGTGAAAGCCTGGACGCATGCGCAGTGAGCTTTCGCGGTGGCTTTGCTGCCGCCTGCTGGACTGGAGTGCAAATGTTTAAAACCTGCAGCTGCTGTGCAGAGCTGTGCAGGCTCCTGGCGGGAGGTAACACTATGCTGAGAGAACTGATGGATGCAGATCTCTGCAGGAAGCAAACACCATCAGGTCCTCTGCAGACGCTGAGCTGTGCACGTGCTCACCACGTAACGTTTTTTGTGCTGAATCTCAAGAAATGTTCATAAAAGATATACCTATAATCATTTATCACCACTGATGAACAACACAAAGATTATGTTATCCTTTTTAAACAGAGGTGCATGCAGAACTCGGCACAACACCTGCTCTAATATTCAGAAAAATTATCATAAAATCAATATCCTCAGCTACTGACACAGTTACGGAACACGTTATTGACCTTTTCAGTAAACCTAAATTTAATTAATGTTATTTAAACCTTTTTGAGTGTCGCTTATTATCAGTGTTTCCCCATCATGCTGTGACTTCCTGACTGTTTCTTCTTTTTTATATTCTGTGGTGAGTACTATGATCACAAGATGCATAAATTTACTCACCACAGAAGGTAAAAGGTTCTTTTTGTCCAGCACATTAAAAAGCAGTTTCACAAATTTGTCACTATCTGCTACCTGGTATGTTCATTTCCATGTTCTGAAATATCTTTTTGAAAAACAAAATAGAACAATACAGACATAAAACTGTTTTTTGTTGATATTCTTCTAAATAAAACACATTTTTGGATTTGGTTTGTTCTCCCATCCACACTACACAAAGTTAGACACTTAGGATTTTAAAATTCTAAAAGGTTAAATTGGAAAATGCTGGCGTTGTAATAATGAACACGGATCATGAAGTTTATCAAAACATAAAATCCAGCGGCAAAGTTTTCCAGGCACGCTCCTCAGCAGGAGCGAGTGAAAAGGCACCGCCACAGTAATAACATTCATTTATGTAAGAGTTAAATAAAAATGTTTAATATATTTTTATTTAGTATTAAAACATAAAATACTGTACTTATACATAGCTTAAGTTTGGTAAAAACGTAGTTAATTGTTTAATAAAGAAATATATGAGCACAATATTTACATAACTGGAAACATAAAATAAACACAAGCAACTGTAAATGTGTTAGCATATCTGTGAAATCATAACGTCTCTTCAGATTAACAGCAGCTGTTGTGGACAAAAAGACTTTGTGCTAACGGCTCTTTAGTCTAAATAAGTTGTTCTTCTTGTAAACACTTTGATCTATTTGTGTAAAACATTTCTTCCATCACAAAAGCCCCATTTTGTTCCATCATCATTTTCACATTTGACACTTTTACTTGGATGTTTGAACCTCATTAAAAAAACAAACAAGACGCTGTTTTCCCTCCAAAAAAAAAAATCTAACTTTGACAACACCTAACATGTGTTTTGCAGTCATCAATAAATCACCTGTCCTGCTCGTATCAAAGTTGTCCCATGTGTTTAAAGTGTGTGTCACTGACATTCAGTGAGAGACGCTGCTTCACTTCTGTCTGTGATAAACCCAGATGTAATGCAGAGCTTCTCCTGTGAATCAAAATAGTAAAGAAAAGTGCATTAAATTTAATTAAAAAAGTTAACTGTATAAAAGTGTAACATTCACAGAGAATCTAACTTATTTTTGAATTACTCCATCCATCACTCAGCAGCTCAAGAAACACACAAAAAGGGGTTTTCTTTGCATGTCTCAAGATATCTACCCATTTTTACCAACTGCTCAGCTTTTGCTCAGTCTACAGGTTCACGTAGTCTTGGTTTTATGAGTTATACCCAATACATGAAAAGAAAACTCCCAAGTGTTTGAATGTCAGTAAATTACTACTCGAGCTACCCATACGTCAATAAAAACTTACAGAGTACACAGACGTCAGTGTGGAATCAGGTTTCTGGTTTCAGCTTCTCAGAGAGCTGAAGGTTGTCAGGAGCTGGAGTAATAACACGTTTATTTAGTACAGCTACTGTATGCGAGTTACATAAACTATAAAATCAATGCTGCACAGTAAGAGTTTAGCTCAGACTTGATGCACATGAAGGAAAAATAAAATACTTACAATCTGAAGGGCGCTTGGCTGAAATTAAAAGAAAATCCAAATTAAAATGATTCTATGTATCACAGCTGTAAACAACAGAATATCCCATCCTCTCAAACGAATCTGATCTCCTCTTAAGTTCACACAAACTGCTTAGAAAAACAAATTTTGCCATTTTGACAGGTGCAGTTGACCCGAAGGTGCCGGCTGGTTCAGCTGGCAGCTGAAGCAGCTGGAGGCTGAAGCATAGTGAAAATAGGGCCCAGGCGTAAACATACAGAAATGACCTTTTAAAGGCCGATATTTTGTTCAGCTGAACTGTAGAAGTAATTTTATATTTACATTCCATTTAGCTGACGCTTTTATCCAAAGCGACTTACAATTGCTATAAATATCAGAGGTCGCACGTCTCTGGAGCAACAAGGGGTTAAGTGTCTTGCTCAGGGACACAACGGTGTGTCACAGTGGACTTAAACCCCGGTCTCTCACACCAAAGGCATGTGTCCACTGCGCCATCACCATTTTCACACAGAACGGGGACTGTGGATTTTGTCATTCACCTTTTACACAGCAGATCGTTCACGATGGACAGCAGGAATGATCACAGCGAGTTTCACTCTCTCACCTTTTCTCCTTTTGTAAACTGTGACACCAGTGCCCACAGTGAAGACGATAGCCACTGCCAAAACTGCCGATATGATGATGACTAGTGTCAGGTCACTGGACTTCTCAACTGAAAAAATAAACAGTCAACTGAGAACAAACACCTCAGAAAGCAGTGGCCTGTACTATGAAGGGAGTTCAACCTACTCAGAGTTAACTCGGGGTTATTAAGCAAAGTCAGGGTTGACGAACTCTGACCGCCTACACTGGAGGTAAACGGTACTACGACGGTGGATAAGATGTTGGTTAGTTGAGTTCATGTTAACCCGGTGTTAACTTAATTGGAATTTGTGTGAGTTCGCATAAAAGGGGCGTGTTCGGCCGGCGCGAGATTTTGTTCACATATTTTCCCCAGAAGAATGCTCGTTGGGATATAAGAAGTTTAAAGACACGTTAACGGCTAAAGTTACGCATGCAGTGGAAAGTTATATTAGATTTCACAATCGGATTTAGCAGCGAGAAAATACTTGTGGGTTTAGCCCACAACACTATATTATCATGCACCTTAGAGACTTTGCCGTAGATTGGGACTATTCAGAAGAAAACACCAGAGTGATTTTGATTTTTTGTGACTTAATTTCAGGGAATTTCTCGGTTTATTAACCCCCAACCCTGGCTCCGTATTTTTTGGACATGTAAAATATGTGAAAACACAATTATAGCCTACAGACTATCTAAGAAACTGTCCCATTAATTAAGGCTCGCTGTTGGAACGTGATGCTTTTGTGTTCAGAATAACTTCAATTCAGCTGCAGCCCCAGTGGAACAAGTCAGGATGAAATCTTTAGAGATGTGGCGTAAATTGCCATGGCAACAGATCTGGGTTAACACCTATCCACCTTTCGTAGTACTGGTTAATCGGGAAGTTACACCCGACGTCACAAAGTTACTCCTGAAGTTACCTGCATAAGCCGGTTACCTCACTTCGTAGGTCATTGGTTCTGTATGTAAGAAATAGTCTGGAACACAACCCCCAAAACACTGCAGGTTTTTTATGGACTGAACAAACGCATATGATTGGTTTCAACAATGGACACAACAGACAGAAAGCTAGCATTTCAGACAATGAAACTTTCTTCTCTGTTGATAGTATATGTGTTGAAAGGTTTAGCAATGAGAAGAATCTGTAATTAGCCACGCATGCTAGCTGGATCCAGTAATGTTTATTGTGAAACACACACTATAAAAAAGTAACATTAATTAAACATCAGACACATCAAAGTTCATGTATGTTTTCAAGCTCTGCTACTTACTCCAGTGAGTTTTTGATTTTGTTTGCTGGGTCCAGCTTGGTGATGATGTCATTCTCAACACCGGAGAGCTGAAAAACACACTCGTACATCCACCAGTCTTCGGGTGTGACCAGCGAAACGTCCAGCTCCACACTCATCTGGAAGGTCCCGTCGGGGTTGTGGAGAAGCTCACCGTGGTCAACATGCTGATGAAGCTCCTCCCCATGTCTGCTCCAGAAGATCACGGCTCGGTCAGGGTAGAAACCTGTGGCATGGCAGCTCACCGGAGACGAGGGCGTCTTCCGGAGGAGGGACACAGAGGGAAGCTCTGGAAAAAGAGAACGCAAGACAAACAAGGACAGATAGCTGCTAACTTCAGATGGCCTTAATCTCCACCAGGGCTCAACAGTATCGACTATCAACTGGAAAAGAATGAAGCATTTTGATGTCGTTTATTACCACGCTACAGCCTCTCCCCTGTTCTCGGGCTGAGCTCCTTCACATACACATGTGTAACAAAAACCTTCACGAGTAAAAAGCCAATACTTTTATCACTACACTGAAGAAGCCTCTTGGATGAGAGGAGGATCTTCAAGAATCTTCAACCAGTTGAGACCAAACCTGGATGACTAAGACTCTTCACAGACATTTATCAAACATTTACAACATGTAGAACAGTATTTTTAAACCTGGATCTTATTTTGCTATGTTTCTGTGTCCATGTGATTAAGTGGGACGACATTTTTTGAAACTGGTCCAGCAGTCAGCAGCAGTGTAACAGGGCTGCAACAAAGTGCTTGTTTTTGCCACTGACAGGTTATTGCAAGTGTCTGACAACATTATAGAAAGGATCCCTACACAGACAGACGCTTGTTTAAAGAGTAAGATCATTTTTGTTTAACCAGAAACAGCTTCATGTAACTCATTAACATAAACAGTATTTTTCAATAGATGTTGAACAGTACGTGATTGACGGTTCTTTCTTTTAATCAAACATCAAGATGAACTTCTCCTAAACCTGACTGGAAACGCATGCTTTAAAAAACGTTTTATTATAGCTTATTTTATTTCTTATTCTTATCATTATTATAATTCTGTCCTTCATGTATTTTATCATTCAATGTGATTTTCATCTGTCTCTGTGTGAAGACATAAGTGCTCTATGGAAGTTTATTGATATTATATTGTTATTTTCTTTGATGTCGCCGTGTTCCCACATTTCAGCATTTAACTTTGTGAGTGCAGGCTTACAGACAAAACACTACTTTATAACATTACAACAACATTGATTTCAATGTGTCAGATAAATATTTAATCAACATTTCACATCTTAATTAACCTTCTGATCTCATTTTCAGGTTGTGAGCATTAAATACACTGCCACCCTGTTGTGCTACACTGTATATATACAGTAAACCCTACTTTTACCTACCTGTTCTCAGCAGAGTGCTCTTCCCGTAGTTCAAACTGTTCTGCAGCCTCACGGGACACTCCTGGGTCAAACGGTGCTCCATGAATTCTAACCAGCTTTTGTCATTATTCCACTTATGTTGGGTTCTAATAAGCTGTGGTTTTGTAGCGATCCATCTCTGTGCCTTCATATCCAATATTAAAATGTCTTCTCCTTGATAACTATTTAGACCGAAACCGTTAACTTGTCCAGTTTCATCGTCCCATTCACAGCCATGCAACACCTGGATTACATGGATGCCTGAGAGAGAGATGGAAACACAGGTTTTTATCAATAAATCAAGTTAATGAGTGAATTTAATATGATATCTAAGCTTAAAAAGAATTCAAAGTAATGCAAAATTAACCATTATACAATATTTTAATATGTATCAAACAGATTTTAACGTACTTTTTAGACGATTTAACTTGTGTCCTGGGTTTTTGTCAACACCGTCACACATTTTTTTTTAAATAAAAAAAATCAGGAATAATTGCTGGGATTGGCTCCAGCCCCCCCGTACGCAGGATAAGTGGTTGACGATGGATGGATGGAACTGAAGGCTGCCAAAACTCTGAGGACCCCTTTATCACTTCCTTGTTCTTTCTAATACTATGAGACCACTCATAGTTTTTTAGTAAGTTTTTTAGATTCTATATATTTTATACCTACTTGTTGATACCTTGCATGTCACAACCGTAGTGTGTCAACACCATAATTAATGTAATGTAAGATTTGTATCATATTTTCTGTTATAAATTCCTAATTTAAGTAGATTATAGAGGTCAGAAGCAACTAATCATAAACAAGATGGCTCCTGTGATGAGCACATGTGTTTTAAGGGTAAATATGGGATTTTGTCAACACCATCAGGATTGGTGTCTAAGACTACTTTAGTGATTTTACCTTCTAAACATTTGATATTACTGTTATTCAGTTTCATGTGTTGAATTTCAAGCAACTGCCAGAAAATAGCTTTATGTTTTGAATTGAATCTCATTTTCATAGAATCTCAAGTACTCAATATGTAATAAGGTGTTGCTTATACTTATCCATCAGAAAAGTATACTGACTGCATGATGAAATGCATTTCAGGCCATAATAGCTAGTGAGAAGCTATTAGTGGAGGAACGAAAGAGAAGGAACAGGAAGTATCAAAAAAGAAGGTGAATAAAATTGATAGCCAGGAGTTCCTGAGAAAGGAGGGGGAAAGATTGAGAAATAGGGTGGAGGAGGGCAAAATAAAAAGAATCAGTAATTTGTAAGAAACAGAAAAGAGATGGTTTTGGAAACAAGCACAGAAAGAGCCAAGCGGCCTCATGAACAGAGCACAGCATCTACAGACCCCATTTCCACAAAAGTTGTGACATTTTCCAATAAAAATAAATGATAAACTGGGATTATTTTACAAATAGAATAAAGATTTTCAATAGTTTTACTGAGCAATGTAACTGTATTTTTGTACATATAAGCAAAGTTTGAATTTCATGCGTGCAACACAAGCAAATAAATGTTGGGGCTTGTTTACCTTTGTGTTACCTCACCTTTCCTCGGATAACAACTGATCGTTTGGGAAGTGAAGATACTAATTGTGCCAGTTTTATAATTGGAATTTTTGTTATTTCCTGCTTGATAGCTGCTCAACAGTCTGTGGTCGCCACTTCTCCTCTTAATGATGCGCCATACATTTTCAATAGGAGACAGATCTGGACTGGCAGCAGGCCTTTAAAGAACACGCAATCTGTGGGTACGAAGCCACGTTGTTGTAGCCCCGTCATTATGCAAATGAGGAGGGGCTGTGTCTCCATACATACCACCCAGTACCTTTCGCTGAAATTTTGCCACAAAGGCGGGGCGCTCCAATGCATCCTTACTTGCAAAGCCTTTGGTGGATGCAACTTTTTATATCCAGTTATTGTGGAGTCTTCCAAACAGGTGTTACTTGAATATTCTGTGCACTTTTCAACTATGTCCCAACTTCTGTCGAGTGTGTTGCAGGCATGAAATTCTAACTTTGTTTATATTTACAGAATACGATTCTGCTGGTCTGTAAAACTATTGAAAAATCTTTTCTTTGTTCTTTTGTCAGTTAAATAAAGGTTCACTTTATTCACAGGCTTTTTGGAAAATACGCCAACTTTTCTGGAGATGGGGTTTGTAGTTTGTGTATAAGCAGCACAGAATTGTGTGTCTCTTCATTATACTCACACAAGATTATGTCACGACGTTACTATGGTGACCAGGTCCATTGAGTGGGTACCATAAAGTTGAAAAGGGGCTTAATAGCCTTATGAGATATTTCAGTCTGTACCAAAGTGGTGGTCCCACATTGCCATCCATAAAGCCATGAAGAAGAAGTGAAACATTCAGTACACGCACCTTCAGTCTGGTTAAAGCGCGTCTTTAAAATCTCGATGTTGACTCTTCCTATCTGCTCTTGACCTTCCCAGTACGAAGTTTGCCTCTTCCAGTACTCTGGATCATCTGCTGTGACTCGGTCCATCCAGGCCTGTATAGGTACTGTTGTCTTGGTGATGCTGTCATAGTAATCTGTCTGAACGCCATCAACAAACACAACGGCCACAAAGTCGGGGAAGTTTGCGACCTCAGACGATGCGGTGTAGACATGCTTCAGGGAGTGTATCACTGCAGAGAAAAGATGTAACACGGTCATTTTAGCACAGTATCTATTTACAAGGAGTATTTTTCTTATTTTGTATTAATTATTTTATGTTTAAAACTACTGACTTTGATAATTATTTGATATAAACTGATACTCTGAGTGGGATAACTTTCCAAATTTATTACTAAAATATAATTAACAGAGCAAATTCTCTAGCATTTCTTCAATCTCTATGACCTAAAGCCTATTGTGAGCTGTCCAGCATATGTATATACAGTATATATATATATATATATATATATATATATATATATATATATATATACACGTGAGCCACCATGTGCCAAACTTTGGTCAAGCCAGCCAATGTCTGAATTTCATTCATTATTTAGGTTATAATAATAATAAATTTATTATTATTATTATTATATTAGCTATATTACTATATATATATATAGGCAATAATTGTGTCTATGTCTAAATCTGTGTTCATAAAACAACAAAGAACATGAAGGAAAACGTGTACCAGGCCATCATTACCATAATGAAACTACTTTAGGTGCAACGAAATTGTGAGGCTGCTGGCTTTTTGCTGGCTTGACCACGGTTTCGCATTCTGCGGCTCCTGTTACCGTGGTAATATTGTCAGGGCATTATTAATAAATACACAATATGTGACAACACCAATGGAAAGTGTAAAGCTTCTTGCAGACTGCCCAGACAAATGCCGACCAACTCCAAGCAACACCAACTGTTGGATCAGTGTGCGCCGTCAGTCGGTGTTAGTCGGATGGAGTTTTTAGAGTCCTAGAAAGTCTGACCAATGTGTGCCGTTTTCCAACCAATCGTAACATTCTGAGAGTTCCCTTGACAACTGCCCAGTGCCTCCTGAAGTGTTCGTCCCCTGAACACACCTCGTCTGCCATTGCATCCAATGTCTACATATATAAATTAGGGCAGTCAAAAATAGCGCGTTAACGACGTTAATTCGTTGTTTGTCGTTAATTACGTCAATTTTTTTAACGCATTTCACGCATGCGCAGTGTGACAAATTATTCAGGTCAGGAAAGTGGTTGGGACGGGAGCTAGAGGCGAGATGGAGCAAGGTGAGCAAAGTGGGCCTATTGACGGATTCAAATATAAAAAGAATGATGATGGTACAGTTAACAAGTACAAGGTTATTTGCAAGATTTGTAACAAGGAGTTTCAATTTCACCGGAGCTGTTCAAGCTTGAGGTACCATGTCAACGCCAAACATGCGTTTGCTGGGTCGTCAGGTTCAGCAAGTGGTTCGCGCCAGACCATGCTGAATTTTCGCGGGCCATTAACAAAATCAACCTCAGATAATTTGACCAACAAAATAGCAAAATGGATTGCAAAGGATTGTAGACCCGTTAGTATTGTAGAAGACTCAGGTTTCATTGATGTTTTGCAAGTGGCGTCTCAAGACTCATCCTATAGGCCACCGTCAAGAGCCACAGTTATGACGAAAATCCACGAGCTCTATCAAAACGAAAAAGAAAAAAGGAAAGAGGTCTTGGCTCAAGTAAATCATATCGCCCTGACAGGAGACCACTGGACATCAGTGAATAACAACAATTATTAACAATTATTTGGCTGTGTTAATAAACAGACATAATATGAAAATTATGTATCTGTGTCTTTTTATTTATCTTTTGGTATGCATTTCAGAAAAAAAAAATGGTTAGGATTCAGGTGTAATTGCAAATAGTGATTAATCCTGATTAATCCACTGAAAATTCTGATTAATTTGATTAAAAATTGTAATCATTTGACAGCCCTAATATAAATGTATAGTTGCTGCCAACCAGGGCCATAAGTACTATGAAATTACAGTGTTTGTTAATAAACAGAGCCACTATTTGGTGGAGGTCTACTTGCTACATGTTTCCCATCCAAAGCACCCAGACAGTGGAGGGACTGCCACTTCTTCTGGAACCCACCAGCAATCTCCAGCCATTCAGATGTTTGTGCGCTGTGAGATAACTGTTGTTGTGATTTGGAGCTATATAAATAAAATGAAAGTTGAATTGAATGTTGTGTTTGGGCACTAAATGAAAAAAGTAAATCAACATTAGTGATGTTGATGTAAGAAAATGGACCTAAGAATGAAGAGAAAATGTGACTGACACAGACAAAGAGGAACCGACCCCAAGTGGTATCACAACCCCGCTCATTAGGCGCAAGACGAAGTCCCCGGACAGCTCAAGAAAGAGATACGCAAGCTCTGGAGACAGATAATGCTACTCTGCGGCATACTGTCAGTACATGGAGCATGAATTTAGAGCCATTCAAGAGTCAGACCCGTGTTATATTCGATATGTAAAAGCTCAGATAGGTCAGCTTATCTATAATGTCACTCACAACCATCTGTCGCAGTAGGACAACCCTTTTTGATTTATTTGATGCATTCCTGTTGCAATAGTATCTGCTGACTATATCAATGTACATATAACATATTACAATGTGATTAATAAATTATTTTATTTATTGAAACACAGAGATGTATATATACATACATATCATTGATATTTGTTATTTTGATTACACATTTTACTGACATGTGCCTGCATATGGAGGACCGATCCTGACACAGGCAGAAATAAATACAGAAATAAATAAATAAGCATCCAATTAAATACACAAAATAATAAAGTAAATAAATAAATGTAGGTAGTAATTAAATTATACAAGGAGACATAAATGTATATATTTTAATTAGTGTCTTTACTTATTCACCTTTGTAATAATTACCTTATTTATTTACTCTCCGTTATAATCTTCAACTTTATTTATTAATTACTTATTTTTAAATGTATTTATTTATGTGTGTGTTTTAATATTTTTGTCTGTTTTATTCTTCCTTTGTATTTTTTTACCTTATTTATTTTCACCCATGGTATTTATTTCTGCCTGTCTTTTTTAAATTTCTGTATGCATTTCTGCCTCATTATGCAAATGAGGAGGGGCTGTGTCTCAAGGGGTCATCTTCTCTGCTATTGGTGGACCAGTCAGACAGGAGAGCTCCTACTCTGCCTGCAGACATCAAGCAGCTGCTCTTCACACAGTCAGATCGCGGAAAGTATAATCCTTGCTTCAGAAAGACGCACATGATGACCCAGGTACCCCTGGCCTGTAAGCAGCAGGCTATATGATATATGCTGATGATGATAAATTATTAATGCATAACGTTACCTTGAAACATTTTTCACAGAGAACTTCATGGATGGCCACACAGGTTTCAGGAAATGTATAACAACCAATCACAAATTGGTAAGAAATGTTCTGGAAGGTTTCACGTGTAAAGAACAAACATAAAAACACCATGTTATGCAATAGGTTTTACTATATCTGAAGGGTATTGTATGAATAAAGTAGGCTGTATAGACGTAGGACAGCCTATGTACATTTTAGAATCTTAAAGTCACCATGAGGCGTTCAGGAGAAATGCAGTATTTTCTGGCAGTGAGTGGAGTAACCATGCTCAGTAAATGCTTGAAAGCTGGAGGCGCAAAACGGGCAAAGTTTGCAAAATCTCTGCACATGTAAATATTTCATTTTCATTTCATATCATGCACAAACCTGCCACACTGCATATATTTGTTGTTAATTGTAAATCTTTGTTGTTGCAGGATCTGCCTCCTGTGCGTCAGTCTTCTCCACAGTCTCCTCCTGACTCGGTTTGACTACAGCTTAAGTCATTGTTTAAGATGAGTAAACATTTTTTTAAAACACCATTCATTATCTGTGATAATTCTGTGTGTAAAAATGCTTTTATTTTGAAAACGAAACTATGTCAAGAGCTAAAGATGATGAAATGTTTAGTCTTTCATTCAAAAAGTCTTTATAAGTTTAAATTAGTTTTTTTAAATGCATATATTTTTATGCTGAACTCTAATCAGAATCAGAAAAACCTTAAATCGTCAAGTGGAGGAATTTGACTTCAGTTTTACATTGTCTCAGTGTACAGTATGAACGAGTATATCCCATGCACACAACCATCAGCAGCAAGTCGTTTATGCTGTATTTTAACAGAACAGTAAAACCATGCTGAAGTAGCCTCAGGTGTTCCGCTAAATGTGAAACTTACCTGGAGATGCAACATGGCATGAAAGCAGCAGCAACATCACCCGCATCCTCCCGAAAAAGAGAGCCGAACCCGGAGGAATGGAAGGAGTCTGTCGCTCAACCAGCGACGGTTTCATATCTTCGTCTTCCTGATCCGAAGACTCACAGCAAACTGTCACCACCGGAGCTCCGGGGAAAACTGCGGACCAATCGGAACTCAGGAAATGCTCATACGTCATGGGTTACTGGACTGATTTTAAGGACAGAGTTTGATTCTGAAAGTGAAACATCCGCAGGCTGATTGGTCAGCTGCGCGGAGGAGAAAGAGAAAGCTGCAACTCTCAATACTTTAAAATCAAGGCTTTTCTGTTTGCTGCTGCCTTTTATTAAATCAAACTGAAGACTTTTGAATAATATCTTCCAGGCTCTTCTGTATTGATCTTTTCATTTTCTATTTAACTATTTTTTAAATTGTGTTTAAATGTATTTTTATATTGGCCCGTGTTGCTTATATGTTTTATGTAAAGCACTTTTAATTGCTTTGTTGTTGTCTCTTGCCTTGTTACACAACCTTTTCTGTCACGAGACAAGACAACTTTGATTTGTCCACATCGTGACAGTAATTTCATGTGTTCAGCATCACCTGCTTTGACTGTGGGTGCTGTGAGCTGTTCAGATCTGGTAAGTAGGTCGATATTTAAATCTTATCAGTACTCTATTTTTGATTTACTGATTTTTGAGAGTCATTTTCAGCCACATGGTTTGGTTCACAGATTCTTGTATTCCCTTTATGACTAGATACCTACAAATCTATTGACTACTGACCTAATTAGAAAATGTCAGCATGCTAACAGGCTAAACTAAGATGGACATTATAAACATTATGTTGTAATTTAATTTAATAATTAAATTACAATTGAATTAATTTAATAATTAAATTACTTTATTTTATTGTAGTTTTGCCTTAAATCATAAGCAAGATTATTTTATTGATGTGAATGTAGAATATTAATGTTATTATTTTAGTTAATTTGAGTATTTCTTTTAGGGGGGGGGGGCTTTTGTTCTGAAGGTATTGGGCATCTTTTTTGCATGTGAATCTACATATAGTGGTAATCACATGTAGGACAGGCAGGTTCATGGTTTTTTACCAGGGCAAGAGAGGCTGCAGACACCATTTGTTTGTATGCTTGCCTGGACACTGGACTTATTTTTTTCCCTGCGTAAGATTCGCTCCTTAGGTGCCTCAGTGGCCGTTTGATTTTGATTTTGTTTTACTTTAGTCTGATGTGATTCAAACCTTTGAATTATGTGGATTCAGAAAGTGAGAGCATTTATCAGAAGCCTCCAGCCAACAGAAACGCTTTCATTTTATAATACCGGTAAGTCAAATCAAATCGTATCATATTCCTCATCATGCTGAAAACAAGCATCAGCGTCAGACTCGTTCTGGACTTTCGATGTGACTTGATCTGGAGCCAAACTCACTGCAACACGGGACAGAAAGGCATTCTGGGAAATGCTCTCCCCCATCACGTTGCCCACAATCAAATGAGAAGACAGCTTTACATTTGTTGGATTGTTTATTTATCATCATTATTATTGTAAGTGCCATAAAAGTTCAATCAAAAGCAGAGTCCCAAATAGAAGCCGGGTCTGTTTTTTATAGAAGTTCACTGGTTGTATAAAGCCTCTTAAAGCCCAATGGCTCTTGAGCTAAGCTGCTTAGATCATGCATAAAAATATAAATGTTTATAACTTTGTCAGTATGTACATGACGGTACATCGGTTAGATTCTCTACAGTTCAATGGTTCACGTCATTTTACTGAAACGAGCACCAAAGTACAATTCATTCAGATTTCCCAGCTTGGTAAACAAGAGCAAGGAAATCTGCAGATTTAACTGTGAGGCAGTCTGAACGCTGTTTTCTGCTGAGGTGAAATGCAGAGATGCACCGATCGATCGCAAGGCCATTTTACAGCTTAAGCATATCCGATCCTGTGCCGGGCCACACAGTGTTTCCCGTCATACGACTATCGTCAAAGATATCGTGCTGAGAAAAGAGGAGGATGCAGATCTGGGCAGGAAGCCTTCGTCAGCTGTTCTGCTGAATGATGCGTTCACCTCTTAAAGGTCCTTCTCAGATCCTTTGCTCTGCACGCTGATCAAACGGGATTATCGCCGCGTATTTCTGCTGAATCTCAGTGAACGCTGCTTCTGTCAGAAAGATCTAAACGTTCATAGAATAGGCTAAATACTTTGAATCATTTCTCACCATTGATGGACCCCATAAAGGACATTATAGCGTTAAAAAGCATCATCTGGAGCTGCATGCAGAACGCCGGATATTCCCATGACGTGCGGAGACATGGCTGGTAGCTTGAAACACATTCCTGAGGATCAGGGTCCCTCAGGTCTGGTTTCTGGTTTGGAACCCGGACGTCTTGTTTATTACAGACGTGTGTAACATCAACTACAGACGTAACGACGCTCGCCGTAGCCTGGTTTATTCGCTCCAAACCAGCTGATGGAAACTCACGTTTCTTTTTTGTGACATTTCAAAAGTAAAACTTTGTGTGACAATTAGATGGAAACATGGATAGAGGTCGGTGCTGCCGGGCTGCAGAAAGACTTTCCTCTTGCAGGACGATGAGGTGAATCTGCAGCAGACGGATCAGAGAGGGAAGGCGACTCCAGACCGCCGATCCTGCTCGCTCACTGCTGCGCACAGAAAGACCACATCCTGCTGCTACATTCTCTTCTCAATGAGAAGACGCTGAAGAAATCTGGGCTTGGACAGACAGCAGGATCAGGAGTTTCTCTCCTTCAAGATAAAATAACCCGAACGTTTGTTAAACTAGGAATCCGATCCGGCTCTTGACCAGCTCTCAGCTCACTGAGGGAGTTCATGTTGAAATGTTTTCGCGCCGCCGCTGGCCACGCCTCTCCTCTGACAGGGGTGTTTGTAGAAGCAGGACAGCTGGCTGAAGCGCCTGTCGCAGACGGAGCACCAGTACGGCCGCTCGCCGGTGTGCGTCCGCAGGTGCACCGTCAGGTTGCCCTTCTCCACGAAGCCGCGGCCGCAGTACGTGCAGGTGAACGGCTTCTCGCCCGTGTGGCTGCGGACGTGTCGCACCAGCGTCGCCCTCCTGCCGAAGCTCTTGCCGCAGAGCGTGCAGCCGTACGGCCGCTCGCCCGAGTGGATCCTCATGTGCGTCCTGAGGTTCCCCCGCAGGGTGAAGCTCTGGCCGCAGACGCCGCAGCGGAACGAGGTTTCTCTGTGAACTCGGAGGTGGAGCTTCAGGTTCTCCGTGTGCTCCAGGTGTTTCCCGCACAGGCCGCAGTCTCTCAAATGTGCCGACGCGTGAGCGAGCAGATAACTAATCCTCTGGAAGGACTCGCCGCAGACTTTACAGCCGAACACCGGCGGAGGCTGGCGTGAGAGCTCAGGCTCCTGCGACGGATCGCCGGAGCTCCTCGCCTTCGAGCTCGCAGATGAACTTTGTCCTTCAGCTTCTTCCGTCTCCACCGGCTTCCAAAGTCCTGCAGCCTCTCCCCAGTACTCTCCACTGTCTTCGGTCTCAGAGGACTCGGCGAGGAGTCGGCCGTCGCCGGCTTCTTCCTCACCACCGGCTGGATCAAAATAACCGCTTGGTCTCGACGCTCCGCAGTCCTCACCGCCAACTTCTGATTTGATCTGAGCAGCTGAGGTGCCGGCGTCCGTCTCCTCCATGCGGTCAGTCAGGTGCAGCTGGACGCTCAGGACCTGGTCATCAGGACACTTCTTTATCCAGGAGGACGCCGGCGGAGGATCTGAAGGGAGGAGGAAGACAAAATTATGTTTTTTAAAAAGTACAACTGTGGGTATGTCCTCTATGTTGTTCCTTTCACTGCAAAACTGAATCTCGACGACGATATGAAGTTAGCTTCGGATCAAAAACCACTGCGCCACCATTTAAAATTGCGCTTTTTCGCAAATAGAATAAATGTTTCACAAATCTGAAACTGCGTTTTAAAGAAACTTCAGCCTCTCTGGGACAATCCAGTCCAGGTTTGACAGCTGAAGGTGTAGCGGGTTTCCCTTTAACTTTCCCCTCAACAGCCGGTGTTCTGTCGATTTATGCTACCTATCCAGATGTGCTATTTAGCGGTTATGACACAAATAAATCTGTGCAACCTTGCTGTTGGGAATCAGTCAATATCTGTCAGTAATATCTCTAAAAATAAATAAAATCATTATTAGTCATTAATCAGAATACGCTGCCCCTGATATCCTAAATAAAGATGGCATAATATAGTATTTCAACATGCTCCCCGTCTCCGTCCAGTACACATGGAGTGAGTAGTGGTGCAATATAACATGATTCTGTAGTGGGAGCACTACCCCTGAAATGCTGTTACAATATAATCAAAAAACAGCAGATGTCATAAAATACTGTGAGAGGATTCACATCAGGTAGCATTTTTCGATAGGGCTGCATAAATGGTCAGAACACCGGATTGAAAGCTTCAGCGTAGTTAACAACATTGTGATCAGATCAGGGAGCCATCAGGGCTCAGATTAGGGGTGTGAGGACAGATTTTAACCCCAGTTTTTAAGAAATATTCAGTGCTGAAATATATGAGTGGGAGAAACCTGCATTTCCAGCATTCTGGAGAAATTCTCTGCACCAATTTATGGTGCAAATTTATTTACATATAAAGGGGGAAATAAAATTCAGCACAATTCAAAATATAAAAATATAATGCAGTGACCTGCAGCTTGACTTTATTTGCACATTGATTTCTTCTATATTTACACTGCATGTTTTCTTTTTGTGCTCTTTTCAACATATTCTCGTTGCAAACTATTTTCCAGAACATTTTGAAGCTTTATTAAAAATGATGTAAAGAGGACTCAAACCTGCCGTCTGGCTGCACCTGCCCTCCTCCTCTTCCTCCTCTTCCTCCTCCTCCTCCTCGGACCTCAGGCCGTCCAGCTGTCGCCTCTGCCGGTCTATCTGCTCCCGGTACTGGGCCACGGTTTCCGCGAACACCCCCAGGATGTCGTCCACCGCCGCCGCCAGCCGCTCGGTCACCAGCTGCCTCAGAGTGTCCATCTGAGGCAGCGGGCTGCTCTGAGGAGACACCCCGCAGAGAGCCTCCTCCGCCCCGGGAGGCAGCGGAGAGGAGGGCGCGGGGAACAGCTGCCGGTCCGCGGACATGTTGAAACAGCCGTAACTGTGAAAACACCGAGAGTGAAGCGAGAAGACTGCAGGACAGAGACCAGGCAGGAGAAAGTAAACACAGTGGCTGCGACACAAAAAGACGTCGGAGGCGAAACAACATGTGGTCATCAAAGGTTCCGGGAGCGCACAGTTGGGTTTGTGTAAGAGCATATTACTCTGGTACAAGTGTTGAAATATAATTAGACTTTATTGTCATTCAACTGCACATTCACAGCGTACACTGAACGAGATTACGTTGCAAGGCTCCAATAAAAACAGACCAGTAATAAGAGAAACAGGATAAATATAAAAATATAGCTACAAGAAACAGAAACCGAATATAAAATAAATGAAATAGAATATTGTGACGTTTGTCAGGAATGTAGCAGCAACAGAAACATATGTAAGACAATATGAATTGTGCAAATATCTGTAGCAGCAGGATGTAATGTAACAGTGAGACGGACAGTGTAGTAGTGCAGATAGTAATAGTTATGCAATAGAGTTCAGTGTCCATGTAAAGTGACTAGTGTCCTATGTATGGGGGGGGGGGGGGGGGGGGGTTATTGGGAGTTTAGCAGTTTTATAATGTTAGGGATGAAGCTGTTGTGGAATCTGGATGTTCTGCATTTGAAGCTGCTGAGGGCAGCAGGGAGAGCAGTCCCTGATGGGGGGGGAGGGGTCTTTTATGATAGTCTGAGTCCTGGACAGGCAGCGTCTGCAAGCAGTGTCATGGATCGAAGGAAGTGCTGTCCCGATGATTCTTTCCGCTGTCCTCAACACAGAGTGTTGTTGATACTGCAGCATTTTAATGTCACAACTGGTCAAAGTGGAGCAAAGATTAACAAGTTTAAATTTTTAAATTTGTATGTAAAAACTAATTTAAACTGGAAAAAGAAAAAGGCCTAGTCAAGGCTATTTTTCCTAAGGAAATTTAGATCATTTGATGTGAGCACAAATCTGCTTTATACCTTTTATCAAGGCACCATAGCCAGTGTTCATTTTTTTATTCTGGGGAGGCAGCATTACTACTGCAACAGGCATCACTACTACTACTATTAGTAAAAACAGGATTAATAAGGTGATTAAAAAGGCTGGCTCTGTGATTGGTGTGGTGACGTTCTTTTTTCCCCTCAGAGAAAGTAATAATCGATCGATTAGACAGATTAAAAATGATAAAATGATATTTAGTTACAGAATAAGAAAATATTTACAAAGGGATCAAATAACAAAATGCTAGCAAAAAACACTTCTGTTCCAGATTAACACTTAAAATATTAAATGTTCTTCAAAAGATATTGTCTTGTGAGGCATATCCATTAAAGAATTTAGTCTTATTTAAAGTGCATTTTTCAGCTGTCAGTGGATGATTCGAGAGCTCCCCCCATCTCTCGCTCCAAGAGGGAACTGACTCCCCTCCTTACATTTGATTGAACCCCTGAATATGCCACTTTTTAGAAATGGCGGACAAATTGCGCAGTAACTAAATCCTTATTAGGTAAAAACACAGCTTCACCCGTTGTCCCGTATCAAAAAATGTATTTGGCAGCTCTTTAATGCTCCTTCCTGTTATTCCCTGCCTAGAATATTCTCAGTGAACCAGGGTCCACTTACTGACCAGGCACATTTCCCGGATTGTTTTGCCTCTTTCCCTGATCCTTTCCCTGTTAAACAGCTGGTTCTTGCAGCTTCTAATGACTTTTTTTTATATTAAGTTTTCTTTTGTTTTCAAGCGACCTAGTTTATTCAAAGGTCTCTATCCTGGAATGACCTGCTGTCACATACTAAACCGATTTTTAAACCGTATGTGAACATTAATGCTACAGATTCTATAAAGTTCAGCTGGCAATAACTCACATTGGCCTTCCCCCTCAGTCACTCGAGGTCACTTTAGAAACCTGATCTTGTGGACCTCCCACTAGTTAGTTTAGACACTTTTCTACTCTTTCTAAGCTCTTCAGTGGGTCACATTTTTAAAAAGCTGTCAGCTCTGATCAGAGTTCTAAAGGATTTAAATGGGTGCATTGATTGTTTGTTTGTCTTGTCTTGTCTTGTCTGTACATACTGGTTGACCTTTCTGTTTATACTGTATGTTGTGTGACGTGAGCTGGTGGAAATTGAGTTTCTCCATTAGGGATTAGTAAAGTTTTTCTATTCTATTCTAATTTTAAGTAACTGTGGCTTTCAGATCAATGTAGCTGAGTAAAAAGTTCCATATTTACCTATAAATGCTGACCAGATCAAGCTGAGGGGTCGTCAGATGATTCACGGGAGATGAAAGAAGAATAAATCATGTTGGAATACATAAAACTTTTTAGTAAAGTATTGGATAAATTTACCTCCTCAGGGCTCAAACAGTTACTGAAAGTAAACCATGTGTGAAGTTATGAGGTGAAATGTCTCTTTTGTTGATCTGCTAACAACTCACAGACGTCTGAAACAAGGGGCCCAGGAACCAGGGCACAAACAAAAAACAAGCCACTTTATTGTATTTTTTCAGCTAAGTGAATGTTTTTATTAACCTTCAAAGAAACTGGGAACTATAACTTTGGATAAATGTGAAAAGCAGAATATATTTCCTTCTCAGAGAGAAATACTAAAGTACTTCAAAACAGATCTTAAGTAAAAAATTAAAGAGAATAATGTTTTGACTAAATTTAAAACAACAAAATAACACAAATAAAACATTTACAGGGAATTAAATCATATCGTTACAGAAGCAAACATTAGGTATGCAAAAATAATGCAGGGAGATGGTCTAGAGATCTAGAAATTCTAGTATTACTGATAATAACTGTTGTTAGGAATGTCCTCTGACTGAAGTCTCCAGCTCAACCACTGAGGGGCAGTAAAGTAAAGTTAATGTCAGTAACCTGAAAGGTTCCCGCTGTTAGAAAGGTTGGGCTTCTGAAGTTCACCTGTTAAATGCAGAGCTTCAGAGTCTACAGAAAAATGTTTTCACCTGACAAACCACATTTTTTTATGTGACAGTGGTGAAGCAAAGTCCTGGCAAAGACAACAATTGTGATACAGATAAATAAATATATAAAATATAAAGATGTTTGTCATCTGATATCTACAGATATTGAGACAAATGTTGGAAAAACAGGGACTGAGCCTGATTAAAACAATGTGAAGATGGACATTGTCCTGCTGGTTGCAGCAGAGGAGGCTGCTGGTTCTGTTGGTCTTCCTCTGATTGGATGAAACTGGACTTGAAACTGGTTTCACTTCCCTCTCTGAGCACAGTAACCATGGCAACAGACAGGCATCACTGATGAACCATGGCAACAGGCAGGTTTCAGTACTAAAGATAAAAGTGTGATGTTTTACTGTAGTGTAAATTCTGATCACCAAAACCATCAGATGTTGGTGGTTAACTGTGAACAGGAGAACCAGTTAGAACAGGTCAGCTGATAGAAAAGTTAGTTAGTTATAACTTCTATTGTTAGTTTGTGTTAATCTGCATGAGGATGTTTTAAACAGGCAGCTGTCCCAGCAGTGAGGAGGAAACAGCATGATATGTTGAGGACAGCTACAGTTCACTGACTCTGTGTGTTTGCATATCTGTCCTGCCTCTCTGCTCCCAGCCGTTAAGAGGCCAGTGTTGATCAGTGGCTGTCCAGGCCTTTCAGAGCCACTGACACGCCGGCAGCACAATGATGATGTCACTGATTCTACTGCTGGCCACCCTGGGGCTCCTTGTTCAGGGTGAGACTCTCTTCTGAAAACTTTGCTTCAGGATGCAACCAGCTTCACTACAATGATGTTCTGCTGTGATGGAGAAACACTGAAACAAGCAGCATTTACCTTCTTCCATCTGTTCTCCATCTTAAAGAAATGAGACTCTTCTGTTTGGATGCTGATCATCTTTCTCCAAGCTGGATTTGTCTCAATAACCCTTCTCCTCTTTTTCATCTTTTCCAGGTTCATCAGGACAAATCATCCTGACTCAGTCTCCTGGATCTCAGTCTGTTGTTCCAGGACAGGCTGTCTCTCTCAAATGTAAAACCAGTACAAGTGTTAGTAGCTACCTCCACTGGTACCTTCAGAAACCTGGAGAAGCTCCTAAACTCCTGATTTATCTAGCTACAACTCGTCAGTCTGGAGTTCCAGATCGTTTTAGTGGAAGTGGATCTGGGACTGACTTCACTCTGACCATCAGTGGAGTTCAGGCTGAAGATTCAGGAGTTTACTACTGTCAGCAGAGTAACAGCTTCCCGTTCACACAGTGATACAACGTCGTACAAAAACCTCCCTCAGCTGGAGAGGAACTGATCTGACTCAACAGCTGCACTGAAACTAAAACAGAGGTTTATAAAAATGCACATTTAGCCAATAATTATTCACATTAATGATTGCAACACTAAATCTTCTTTAATATATAATATTCTAGAAGTTATACTTCTAATATGTTTATTAAAACAGATTTTGAACCACTCTTCTGAACATTAAAGCTAACCTCTGTTGAATTATGATGTGTGATATTCATGAAAACACAAGGACACACAGATTGTAAATATTATTTATTATTTTATATCTTACCATTTTTTCATTGAATCTCAGATATACTATAAATTAATTTCATTAATTGCAGTTAAATGACTAGTCATGTTTATAACAACATGTATTTATAACTTAAATTGTGTTTTTTATCCCAGCAAACAAATTCATTTTAGTATGAAAGTAGTAAATCATTAATATTTGAATTGTTTCCTTTGGTCAACTTTTACTTGTCTTTCTTCAGCAGAAGCAGTATGTACAGCATCTGACAACAGTGAGTACACCCCTCACATGTTGTCAATATTTGATTATATCAAACAACTTGTATAACAGTGTAAATTTGCTGTCCCCTTAAAATAACACATCACACAGCCTTTAATGTCTAAACCGCTGGTGACAAAAGTAAGTAGGCCTACACTCCCAATTGAAAATGTGCAAATTGGGCTGCCATGGCGCTCAGCAGTCCCGTTGTGACACCAAAATGTGTGACCTATCAGATTCTGTGACCCAAATGAGAAGTTAAGCGCCAGAGGCTTTGTTGACGATGTGAAGCGGTTGCAGTTTGGTTGGGTTTAGGCACCCAAAGTACTTGGTTATGGTTAGGAGAACATCATCGTTTGGATGTAGTCACAGAATCTGATAGGTCACACATTTTGGTTTTACACCGTTATGCCAATTGTTTAAACGTGTGTTGATAAGCAGGCTGTCATTTCATGAGCTACAGCTATGTATTTCAAAGATAGAAGCAGAACAGCAGAAGAAGGATAAATGCCCAAGAAGTTCTGCTGAGTGAGGGAGGATCAGATGGGGGAGAGATAACAGCCGGCATGTGGGCGTCTGAGAGAGAGAGAGAAAAAGAGAGAGAGAGCGCTCAGTTCATTTATTCTCATATAAGCTAACTAATGGACTGCTACCAAATATTTGATTTTTAACTTTGTTATGGCAAGGCTAGCAGACCCAAGTGCAGGACTAAGAGAGATAGGATTTAAATAAAAGAGGAATATTTATTGCAGGGTAAAGGGATGCCGAACCGGGTTGATGGCTGCTGTACAGAGCAGGGGGGGAACGTAACTGAGAGTCCAGAGTGAGAGAGTCTGATCCGAGCAGGTCCAGAGCAGAATCTGGGAATGGTTTAGCCGGACTGGGGTCCAGGCAGAGAGCAGACGGGATGAGCTTATTTTCGGTAGCAGAACTAAATCTAACACGTTATAATGCAAAATTCACTTTTAACTTTTATTATAGCGACTAAATGCTCTTCTTCTACGATCGCCTAATATAATTTTAAAAGTGTTCATTATGTTGTTGTTTGTTTGTGGTAGCCTGGAGTTTAGGCCTACTTATTAATTTTAAAATGTAGGAAATTTGACTGTTTTGATCTGTAATTAAGCAATTGTAAAATTAATAAACGCCATAACTTCCACAGTACTGCTGTCCTCACTCAGTTTAAAGTGTTCTCACACAACTCAGGGATTCGTTTTGTTTTCCCTTTGATGTGAACTGGAGCGTTGGATTATGTTCACTGCTGTCGGCGGAGTTCAGGAGCGTGAAAAAAACCCCTCAATAATCAAATCTCGACATTGAAAATCAAATGTGTACCCAACAGTCGAATATTCACATATTCAGATCCAGCCCTAATGAATTTACATTACATAATGTTACATATTCTTTGTAAGATCATCCCGGAGAAAGATTTCTCTCAGTGTTTCTCTGGATGTAATATCCCTTGGGTGTGAGAGACTCAGGTTCGAATCCACTGTGAGACACCAATGTGTCCAAAGCAAGACACTTAACCCCCTCATTGCTCCAGAGGTGTACGACCTCTGACATATTGTAAGTCACTTTGAAAGCGTCAGCTAAATTTATGTATTTTGTATTCCAACAAAAAATGTGTTTTATGATTGAAACCAAAAAGGGTTTATGGAGTAAGTAAATCACTAAAATTTGAATTCTTTCCTTTTGTCATCTTTAATTTGTCTTTGAAGTTCTTCAGCAGGAGAAGAATGTTAATAGTTCCTGCTTAGAATAGCAGATTACTCATTTTATTTCTCACTATGCTGATGATATGGTGCTTTATATTTCAGGTTTGTAAATTCTGTATTAACAGATGATAGGATGATAAATGATTGAGGGGTTTCTACATTGGGTTTTGTTCCAAAGGTTTATTATTACAGACAAATCTCTAACGACTACAGTAGCAAGTGTTTGACAGCCATTAGGCATTCATATTAATTCTGACCAAATGATTATTTGTATAGTATTATTGATAATTGGCCTTATACTGATAACATCACTGGTTTGTACAAATCCAACTGTACTGTGACATTTATTAAAATTTACTGTGGCGATATTACCATTATGTCAGCCCAGTTTCTCTGGATGTAATACATTCACCGATACCATCAAGAGAACATTTATTAAGACACTTTGATAATAATAAACATGAAAACAGCTGATTAGATGAAAAGGTCTTTATTATCTGGAAACACTGAAATAATATTGAAACAGTGCAACAAGCTAGTAAATCTTGCTGTTGAAAGATGTCAAAGAAAAGAGAGAGACAGTTGCAGAGTGCAGAGTGAGAGCAGGAGCAGAGGAAAACCAGTAGCAGAGTCCCAGTGAGTCAGGTCAGGACTGGGAACACTGGTCTCTCCTCAGTGTCTCTGAGAGCGGAGTCTGGGAGCCCTGGGTGGCCTCACAGGTCACAGAGCCCACCTTCCTCCACTGGTCTGCAGAGAGCCTCAGGGTGCTGCTCCAGCTGTAGTGGCCGTCCTTCTGCAGCACCCCGGGGCTCCTGCTCTCCTCCCAGCTGCTGCTGCTGCTGCTGCTGCTGCTGCCGTCCACCTTCCAGGCCAGACTCCAGTCTGAGGGGAAGCCCTTGTTGGCCAGGCACATGAGCGTGGCCTTCCCCTGCTGCAGCTCCTCGCTGGAGGGGGGCAGCACCGTCAGGGTGGGACGGGCATCACCTAGGAGAAGAACCAATCACCTTAGAGGACAGGGACCACACAGCTGGTTTCTGCTCCACCAGTCACTCACTCACACATTGTTTCACTTCCTTTAAGAAACCTCTCATGCATATCAGCACAGAAAGAGTTCTCATATGAGCTGAAAGATATCAAACTGCACTGGAAATAAAACAATCAGGTTTTAAATTTGGAAATACAAAAAACATATTTACTGTCAAAACTCTCAAAAGGGCAAAAGTTACTGAGATCCACTGTTAAAGGACATTATCAGCCCAAAATACCTGACGACCACAGGTAACCTGTTCCTCAGACAGATTTAAAAACAGCATCAGAGAACTGTCAACATTATTTCAAACCGAGGTTAAAAGACAATTTGAGCCATTTTAGAAGATCAGAGATTTGGACACATTTTTATCTTCATTCACACTATTCAAAATAATTTTAACTCAACTTCTAAACAGTTTAAAATGCAGAATTAAAGGCTGAATCATTTTTAAAGTACGAGTGTTGTTCTTTAATCTTTGCTGCAGTTCAAGCTGTTCACATTTCACAAATTAAATGGAACGTTTAAAGAGAAGTTCAGTAAAGCTGCTTTGAGTTCAGCTTCATGGTTAAACAGGAGAAACGAACAATAAGATTGAGTCTTTAAAGTGATTTAAATCAGTCCAGAGGAAATTTATATCTACTACAAATGTTCAGACACAGAAATTAAAACCTTCGCTGATGATACGATATTTAATATTTGTGCAGAAACTTACTTCCAACATCCAGTCTGGTTCCTCCACCGAACGTGTACCACAGTGATACAAACTGATTGAGTCGTCGTACAAAAACCTCTCACTGTAGAGAGACACGGCTCTCTGACTTTGAACACAACAAACTCAACAAAAACACTTGCTGTTTTTAAAAGAATGAACTATTTCATGTTATATTTATCAAACAGTGACACAGTTGTTGAGAATGAATCCCATTTTTACGTATATATTGTTCCATTGGTCTGAAAGTCAAATTGATCCCTCTAGAATGAAATGAAAGCAGACAGAAGATGTTGTAAAAGAAAATCTTTCTGCAGTCATCAAAGCAAATGTCCATAAAAATGATCACTGACACATTCCTAATCAATCCTCTGGTAAACGTATTGATCCATTGAGAAGCAGCATCATCAGAGTAATCCAAGTCCCTGTTGGAGTCAGTCAGAGCATTTCCATAGAGAGCCACTTTGCATCAGCAGCACCATGCTCCAGTGCTCTGGGAGACTTTATAGTCCTGAGAGTTGAACACTGGATGACTGACAGCTGTCCTTCATGACAACAGAAGCCACAGAAATCCTCCTCATCAAAAACATGACTTTGGTCTCCGTCCTCATCTGGACTCTCCTCTGCTTCACTCAGGGTGAGGAAAATCATTTTTCTGTGATGTGAAAATCATTTGGAGTGTAGCTGAGTTTCACCTCACCATCTCATGTCCAGTGTTTCTTCTCTCTCCTCAGGGTCTGTTGGACAAAATCTTGTCGTGACTCAGCCAGCAGCCAAATCAGTGCAGCTGGGTCAGACTGTCTCTATTGACTGTAAGTCCAGTCCAGCAGCTGGTCACTACACTGGTTCACAATACTACCTGTCCTGGTACCAACAGAAAACTGGTGAAGCTCCTAAACCTCTTATCTATGCAACAACAAGCAGAGCTTCTGGAATCTCCTCCAGATTCAGTGGAAGTGGAGCAGGGAATGGAGTTGACTTCACTCTGACCATCAGTGGAGTTCAGGCTGAAGATGCAGCAGTTTACTACTGTCAGAGTCATAAATGGATCAACAGTCAACCTGTGTTCCCACAGTGAAAAAGTGTCGTACAAAAACCTCCCTCAGTCAGACTGAACAGAAACTGAACTGACTGCTGCAGCTGGAAGCTACTGCAGAGACTGATACAGTTCACTGAGGACACACACACACACACACACACACACACACACACACACACACACACACACGCACACACACACACACACACACACCATGGTCTTGGGGGCAAGTCTTTCACATAATGCATTCCCTAGACCCTTACCATAACCTTAACTAATACAACTAACCATAGACACAAGTCCTAACCTGGTTGAAAGTTTAGAGGAACATTTGTACATAATATTGGTGGTTACAATCTGACAGCATCAGCTGAACAATATTGATTTTGATTGAGCCGGCTCCCGTCTGAGAAAAGATTTCTCCCCCGCACCTGTTTACAGAAACACTTGATCATCATTATAGTTTATTTCTGATTGCTTAGCAAACTTTTTGAAACTATTGGCTATTTTGGCCAATCTCTACACACTAACCACAAACCCTTACACCAAAAAAACAAAACATTATATATCTCTTGCAAAACCCTTTTTAAAGTTCTGTTGTTGTTTTTCCAGTACACACAAACATCTCTGAGTGAGCACACAAAGCAGTAATTACATACTGATACTAAAATTGAAAATACACTTGCGATTTTTTTGCGATTAAGTTTTGTCATGCATGTAGCAAAACTCTCAAACACACAGGTGCCCAAATGTGTAAAGATGTTTGTTCCTCAGTTGTTTTACACAAAATAAGTT